TATCCTATAAAATAAACAACCTAGACAATCACAGTTTGCATCTCTTATCATCAACATACATTTTCTTGGACCCGACGGTGCATCCTATTTCACCTCATCTCAAATGCTTACGATCTATCGATGGTCACATACAGCATAACGTGAGCTGTGACTTACACACAAAACGTAATCACCTATCGATGAGTACCATTAACATGAATATACGGAATAAACAAGATTACTTTCATCAAGTCATGGTGGATTAAGAGTCCAAATGTTGATAGAAAGTGATCAAAGTAAATCGACAGTGTTGTGTTTAAATGGGAGCAAAACCCTTTTCACATCCATAAGAAATCTCTGCTTAGGGCAGAGTACAATTGTGACTATACCATGACTACATATTTGTTTCACCAGTATTACATGCTGTACGAAGCTGCTTGTAAACAAATCGACTCTTGACTAGACAATCCAGTGATTGTCACAATGAGATACGATGACAGAGCATGTGTTTATGAATCTAAATGAAATAGTGATGATATCAGGTGTTTGAGGAAAGGTGAGCTTATCCTGCCCCTCCGGTGGCACCCGTCATAAACATATGCAAAGTCTTATCAATTGTTCACCTGAAATAATTCTTCAACGGTATGGTACAAGTCAAAATAGGGACTTGCATCGGACATCATGTTTGTCATTGATGCATCAAATTTCGGAATGTCCTCCACCATAAAACATTTTGATAGCTTTACTCAAACCTTGAATGTTGTAATCTTGATGGAACAACTTCAGAGCAAGAGTGGCATGACGCTCTGTGAATTCTTGGTAAAAGGGGCAAGCTCGATTGTACCTCAAAAGTTGTGGAATGTAGACACCAAAGCTGCAGGTGTTGGAATAATGCTCCACATGAAAGGAAAGTTGACTATTAGAAAGTTTAAATCATCCCTTTTGTCATACAGCCTTGTGGAGAGTGTTTTTGTCACTCTGAATCTTAAGCATGGGTGTAAATATACAAGAGTTGACGAGGTCTCCCTTGTTTCCTTAACTTCAAGTTCAGGGGGGTAAGTCAGTGGAAGGCAATTGGCTATTTGATGGGTTATGAAATCATGGATATACCTGAAGCTTAAGTTAAACTTCTTGGCCAAATTAATTTGTTTTGATTTTGCCAACCTAAACCGTTCTTTTTGTTCCTTATATATCTATCACAAAACTACTCACCAGCTGTTTGATAGTTACGGAATTCTGAAGAAAAGAAACAGGTGGTTAATAGTGTGAACAACAGTGCCCCAAATCGCATATTGCTATCATATGGACCCAATTAATGTGAACTGGTGGAGACATGTTGAACCCATACGTACGGGATACTTCTCATATAGAATTCAGTTATTAAAGGCAGTCATCGAACGATAACCAAAGGTTGGCATACCTAAAATGTGAGTGAGTGAGTATGGTTACGCCGCTTTCAGCAATATTCCAGCACTATCGAGAACACCAGAAATAGGCTTCACACATTGTACCCATGTGGGGAATCGAACCTGGGTCTTCGGCGTTACGAGCGGATACTTTAATGGTTAAAGCGTCCGCTCGTCACGCCGAAGACCAGCTTTAGACAAAAAAACTAGAACATGAAAACGTGGAAACAATGTATCAGACTGAGGATTATTTTTATTGATAACCATTAGGATACCTAACCGTCCCAGATCTAAAAAATACATCCCAAGGCATTCCCTTTCTACACAATACACGGACGTATAACTACCACTTAGAACGTACTTGTACAAAAAGGGGCTAACAGAGGCTTCGTATGGGGTTAACCAGGGTCTCCGGCGTGCGTTCGAGGACAACATATACGTGTATAAACCCTCGTGACACCATCCTATTGATTTTTATGGGGCTTTACTTTCATCAAATGACATTTCACCAGGGATTTGCCGATCACCATTCTGTCCCTTCCGATCTCTTTGTCCCAGATATTTTCTACAGTAAAGTCCGTGGCTGGAGATATATTGTGTAACTAGGCTACAGATTCACCCATAAAACACAATGCATATCCTTTTAGCAAGTACATTACGCCAGCAAGTGATATACCATGTATGTAAGTGTTTTTGAAAAATATAATGATTGATAAATAATTTTTAGACTATAATTTCGGCTAACAGCCGGATAAAAGCCTCCGATCCAATTGCCCGATTTTCCGACCTCACATACAATGTTTATCTTTTACTTCTACTCCAGTATTTATCATTATCAAGCACTATCACCGCGGCGAACAGAAGTAGAAGGATTAACGCTTTATCAGTCAGCAAATTGCAATGAATTTCATTCAGTCATTTCTGTCAAATTGTTGGCTGAAAACCTATTACAGAAGATCTTATCACAACAGGGACGCATTTTATTACCACCAGGGATCCAAACAATGGAAGTCCATTAGGCTAATTCGCCCAAATGGTGTTTTTATAGATAAAACAGTAATGGATTCTTGTAATCACTGATAGCTAGAGTGTAAGGGACGATTGAGTTTGAATAGTTTATACTTGGTGTTTAGTCAGAAATCATTTGCTCACTGTTGACATTAATTATCGGCTATCATATCATTTAGCGCAGTTGGACGTTATTGTTGCCGTGTGCACACTTCCATTCATCGTCAAGTACCATCTATATTTGCCAGGGATCTGTTAAACGTATTCAGTTGGAAACAGTAAGCTCCTTTTTCGTTCCTCCAGCGTTGGCATTCCCACTAGAAACTTCCAGTAACACAAAACTAACCTTTTTTCGGAATTCTATTTGGTCCCAAAAGGTTCTCATTTAAGGCTACTTTTGGGGTCATCAGCTTGTCTTGAAGAATGAAACTTAAAGTGGAACCAGTTAACACCAGAGGACACGGTAGGCCTGCCTACAGCGACACAGACGATGTTGACAAAAATGTTGATGGCATATTTCGCCCAATACTTCTGCTGCTACGACTGTCCGGCTTCTATATCGGCTGTAACACCCACAGAATCTGCAATGTCTTGGAACTTCTTCACTGCGTCACGATGAAGCTTGTGCTTGTGTTAAACATGGCTCGTTACTCCACAGTGTTCCTCATCGACACCGAATTTGGTGGCAGCTTGATGGGATCAATGTCCCTCTTCCTCCTCTATACTTTAGGAGCAACTCTGTCCGTTGCCATTTCCATGCCGATATATAAGTGGCTCACTCGTTTCATCGACGACCTCAAGAGCTACAATAAAGAATACAGCAGTTCTCAGTATTTGGTCAAAGTAAAGACACAGTTGAGGATTGTCCTTGCTGTTGGACTTGTACTAGATCTTGCATATCTGCTAGCAGTTGCAGAAGGTACGCAGAGCCTATTACCCTCTCTTCGACGACATCTGACCCCGTTTCAGTCGGCGTCTGGGACGGAGAACATCATGGTGATGATTCTGTATGGGTTCTTAATGATAACGGTTGGACTGACCTTCATCTCCATCTTCATCCTCTTCATAGTGTTGACCCACTGCTTGAAGCGTGAATTCTGTTTTGTTTCCAAGGCATTCAAGGATGAGCTAGCCAATGGGGAGGTTCACTTTCAGACAAAGTTCGATAAGCTGAGACAACGCCATGAAAAATGTGCCAGCTAACCGACACAGCTAATGAGATCGTGTGTCATTTTGCAGCCCTTGTCTATATTTTTCGGGATACCTATCATCTGCTGTCTGGCTTTTGGAGTCATTCGAGGATCTCTTCCGGTTGACGATATCGTATTTAATTCATGGAATCTTATAACGGTCCTGTTGTATATGGCCTTCATAACAGCAATGGGATCTAACCTCAATATCAGGGTAGGATATAAAAATATATAGTGATAAATTATTTTGTTGATGGTTTTGGAATGGTTGGACAGTGCCGATATGTATGCCAAGCAAGTGGAGAGCTAAGTCGACAGAGCCTCGTTTTCTCAACGACCATTGCATCCAGTGTATGAGCAGTGTGTTGAGAGTGAGTGAGTGAGTGAGTGAGTTAAGTTTTAAGCTGCTTTTAGCAATATTCCACCAATATCACGGCGGGGGACATCAGCAATGGGCATGACACATTGTGCCCATGTGGTGAGTTGAGAAGGACGGAAACCCTTTACCCATCTTTAGCCGAGATGAAGGCGACTGGCCTGAAAAGTGAAACAGAATGGCCTCTGTTTGCTGGGGATCAGTCACATCCGTCAATAAGTGACTTTGCTTGAAATGCAAACACCAAATGTAGATTCTGTAATGAATTTGTGAGGCGCCCAGCGTTGCTACAGACGCAATATCGATTATCCAATTACCGTCATTACCATATTTGCTATGGAATCAGAGGTTGGCCCATGGTCCAAACCAGAATTTGAAGATTGTGTCATGGAAAACGATAATAATAAAACATATTTGGAATAGGACCGTAAACAGCTTCAGATGTATTCAGACCAACAAACCTGATTTTGTAATATTTATAAATCTCCTTTTCCGATCGCCTGACTTACATTTGGACAGTACCCGGGTTTGCTGCCAAGAACAAGTTTCATTTTCTTGACATAATTATATAAGACGCAATATTTGTAAAGTAATTATTCAAGGCATTTCATATGAAAGCATATCTGAATGGATGTGATATGGCGATGCTGCATTATCTAATGAATTATTCTAAAACACCATTTCAACACCAAATGTATTGATATTCACCGAGGGATCTGAAATTCCAATATATATCGTGCTTTTGTTCGTCTGCTGTTGTTGTTCATCCTTGATAGTTTAGTGTTTATCATCGTTTATGAATTATTAGTAGTAAGTAGTAGTTTATTTTATTGAATGCTGTACTTGGTAGAACATAAACATATTTTGACCATTTTTGTTTGACATATTTTAAATAAAATTTGTTCAGAAGAAAGAAAATGTCTTTTATGTGTATACAACCTAAATATGACTGATAATTGTATCAAAATGACAGAACGGTTAATAAACTAATGCTTCAGTATTTTAAAAATCACATTTCTCATATGTCTTTCATTATTTCAGGCAAACGAACCCCTGCAACACATATTCCGCTCCAACTGGGCGTCTTATTCCGAGGAGACTATTCAGAAGGTGAGTTGGTAAATGATTTTCAACATATAACATTGTGAGCAGCTGTGTGCATTGTGCATTATTGTTACGTTATGTATAGTTTAATGTTGGTTTGTTGTTTAACGCCGCACTCAGCAATATTCCAGCTATATGGCGCCGGTCTGTAAATAACCGAGTCTGGACAAGACAATCCAGTGATCAACACCATGAGCAACGTTCTACGCAATTGGGATACGATGACATGTGTCAACCAGGTCAGTAAGCCTGACCACCGAATCCTGTTAGTCGACTCTTACTACAAGAATGGGTTGCTGAAGAACAATTCTAATCCGGATCTTCACGGGTCTATAGTTTGATCAGTCTATACTAATGTGTGCTCTGATGAAGGGGTGCGTGGTACATTGTGCAAAAATTACAATGAGAGTATTCGTACACCACTTACGTAATCATACGTCTGTTTGTTACGTAATTGGTGTACGGTATATACATATCATAATTATTTTCGTGGTCAGTGCAATAAGTGGACAGTAAACCAATATATTTATTATTCAGTTATGAAAGAAACATGTGACAACGTAGTTGTTTAGGAAGCATATACACCTGGCTCACAGCTTATTGTGTTTGAAGGCCACACAGGCCTACAACGACATGGCACCATGTGCCGATATTTGTGTAGGGGAATGGTGTATGTACTGGCTTCGTTTAAGTTGTTGGAACTATTAAACCTAATTTGCGAATAGGAATGTTTTCGTGTTTGTTTACAGATCTCTCTGTTCGTGGCAAGGCTGTCTTCGGAAAAGGTCGGCTATTCTGTCTATGGTTTGTTCACGATCGACAGATCCACAATTTTAATGGTATGTTATCTAGTTACAGACCATATATCCTTATAACGGTATAAGAAACTATACCGAAACGCCTGTATTGTGAAAATAGAGAAGTTGATCATCCATAAAGTTTGTCATCTCTATACTACGAACTTCTAGAATGCAACTCAAACAAATCATATATCCTTGTTGTTGTTTCTGGTGTTGCACCTTCGATTCCGTTAGCTCTGCCAATCTTTCATACACTACTATCATCAGACCATGACGTGATGTCTGCTTACTTAGAAGAGTGGTGGTGGTTTCTTTTAGGATTATGAATGAATACGACGCGTCAGTAAGGACCAGAGTTCGATTGCCCAGATGTCTGGAAACACTGCAAACACATTTCCGGCGTTCCATATTTTATGTTTTATTAAACGAATTGTTCTTTTCATTGATAATAATGTTACACATGACGACACATTCTCTGTTTTCTGTGCAGGTAGTGGGTACGATCCTGACGTACGCTGTGGTGGTGCTCCAGGTGCAGCCTGATTCTGGAGCCACGTGTAACACGTGCTTCAACAACCTTAACCTCACACAGCTCTGTTCATAGGACATTTTCAACCTGACTGTGACGTACGGTACCAGTCTACCTATATTGTCAACCGCACACAGCTCTGTTCATATGACCGTCCTGGCAGTGTAGCTGCATGTGACGAGAAGTGACATGTCATCCACAATGTTAACCTCACACAACTCTGTTGATAGAACATTTACGATGCGGTACCTGAATGTGAAGAGCGCCGCGGGTCCATCTATATTGTCAATCTCTCACAGCTCTGTTCCTAGGTCCGTGCAGGAGCTGCGTGTGACGAGCGGTGCCTATCAACCAACAAAGTCAACTGCAAACAGCTCTGTTCCTAGGTCCGTGTATTCTCTCCCCACAGAGGTTACTCCTGTCATATCTTCCCACGTAACCTATGTTCTAATACGGCCCTTTCATGGTGTGAGCGTTCAAGACTCGTGATTGGAGGCAATCAGATTTAGTTGTGCAATCAGCGACGTTGTTTCAAAAGTGATCATTCGCAAGGCCTCGGTAATTTCAGTATGCTTCGAGAAAACTAAACCTCTTCCCCCGCGCGGTGCGCAAACGTTTCTTCTAGACAGAACTCAGTCATGTTATGGCGGATCAGTGGCGTCTAAATCGCCCTTGTTGACAACGGACAAGCTAGCCATTAAACGTCCTGTGTGTAATATCAACACAAGTCCCCGGCAGATGGGGGATATTTGTGGCACCACATTTGCTTGTGTTAGTCAAGTTGAATCTAAGTCGATGTAACACGTGTTCTGATTGGATAGAATGAAGGGAGATAATTCGTGTTGCGATCTTTTGCCGCTAGGGGATTTTACGAGAACCGGGAAATATGGCCGTATTAGAACAGGTTGGTAGGAAGATATGACAAATAACCTCTGTGGAAAGAGAATGAGGTCCGTGCAGGAGCTGCGTGTGACGAGCGGTGCCTATCCACCAACAAAGTCAACTGCAAACAGCTCTGTTCCTAGGTCCGTGCAGGAGCTGCGTGTGACGAGCGGTTCCCATCCATCCAAAAGACATCCACAACCAGACCATAATAGCTCTCTTCCTATGGTCGTTCTGACAGCATAGCTGCTTGAGGCGGACGGTACCGACGCATGTCAGCTTCATACAGCTCTGATCCACAAAGCGTTCTTAACGTTACGACTTATCGTAACTCTATCCTATATCTTTCGCTTACGAAAATGTAGTGCTACGAACGCTTTGCGGATCAGGACCCTGTTCCTTTGACCGTTTAGGATCTAGGATGTGACGACTGGGCTTTTTCCACAAATCAAACTGCAATACATGTCCTAAGACAGTTCTAACCCAGATGATGTCAGATGCCAGCAGCTGGTGAAAGGAAGCTAATTGTTGTTGTTAGCTCTGTGATTCCCTCATCGTATCCTTTATATCATCTTCCGTCCTGATGACCACACTATTACCATTGTAACTTCACAATGTCTGTCATGTCTTAGACACAGTTCCATGTAAGCCATCTCGACTCCTGTACCATCATCAGCTTGTACAAAGACAATGTTTCCTGTTCTTGCGAACTCAGTGATATCTTGTTGTTGTTGTTGTTATGACCATCATAGGTTTACCGTGGTCTGTTTTCAGTGTGTTTATTCTATCAGAAGGAACATGACATATTCCAGCTTGGCAACTTTGTTATCGAATCTTAGCCAGGCAAACATGTGAAACTCAATCAGACAGGACACTGAGTCTGACAACTCGATCCAATAGAATCCCCCCACAGAGACTAGAACACTGATGAATCTGGGACAAACGGATTGTTCGCCATGTGAGCATTTTCGCTCAAGTCGACAAAACAATTCTCGTGTCAATTTCTGGGCTAGGTTGTGTCCTTTCTTCAGATGGAAGGGACAAGAAGTAGCCCAGAAACGTCTTGGTAAACAAATAAAGAAGTTGTTATAAATATGATTTGTCTTGTATTACTAGACAAACTTCTAAATGCCTTTAAAGAATTTGAGTAGTATATCTGGTTCCATCAACGTGCCTCACCTGATTCAGGTGTTCCCCGCATTCCGTGTCAGAAAATGTGCACTCGATACTATACTTGTCGGCTAGTCGACTACATGGAATGGATTGCTAGGCTCGTTGATTGGGATGATTGTGTTTCAGTGGGCAGTGGTGCAGCCATGGCGTTAGTATGTCTCGGCTGATACAGCCTACGACCTGGAATTCGGTTGATTCTGAATAAACATTTTAATGATTTCCACCTAGTTGTTGTATGATGTGATTCCATTTTGATTAGTTAGATTCATTTAACAGTTCTTTAAAACGTCAAGGAGCACATGGGGGTTTAAGGTTAACTGTATAGAAAATTCACTCCGTCAGTTTTGACTACAATTGTCTGTGACAAATATGTTAATGCATATATGTTTACACATTGCCATTATATAATATATTTTAACGAAACACCATAATTTATAAAATTTGTTGGGAAATTTGTCACAGTAACGACCTGAAAAACCTGCCGCGCTTATTCCACAAGGTTCCAACGGAGTCAATCAGCATCGTAGGGGAGGTATCAAATTTCAAGACAATATTTTTTTCCTTGTCTTCTGTACAATGCTTTTCTTGCTGATGTCGTAATATATATAATATACACGTAGTAAATGTGAAAGAAAAAAGTATCATTGCAGACAGAGCCGCAGTTTTATTCTGAAAATACGATGCTTCACTACCATTATCTTGACAACAATGGCCCATCTTTTTTCAGAGGATGAAATCATTTAACATGATTCCGAAAAACATATTGTTACTTCTCGGTTTCGAAGTTGAAACCATGAGTAAAGCCAGGGACCCGCATGCAAAATAATTCAGCATAAACCAACAAAACACAAAAAAGTAACTACTTTTGCAAATCAAGACAGGCAGCTGCGAAGTAATTACAATGGCAGTACACAACACAGTTAACATATAATGGTTGTACAATAACGACCATACAATAACGAGTATAAAATGTATAAAATAGCATTGGGAATAGAAATATAGTCACTAATGCTGTTTGTAAAGCTTTCAAAATCGGTCTGGACTCGATATCCAGGGTGTAAATATGTTCTTCGCATAACCGGTGGCCTCCATGTAAAGTTTGACGATCGAGCATATTTTTCCGAACCCTCAAACGTCTTCAGAACCCTCCAGACCGTCTTCAGAACCCTACAGATCGTCTTCCGATCCCTCCAGACCGTCTTCAGAACCCTCCAGACCGACTTAAGAACGCCACAGACCGTCTGCAGAACTATTTAGACCGTCTTCAGAACCATCCAGACCGTTCTTCAGAATCCTCCAGACCCTCTTCAGAATCCCCCAGACCGTCTTCAGAACCCTACAGACCGTCTTCAGAACCCTCCAGACCGTCTACAGAACCCTCCAGACCGTCTTCAGAATCCTCCAGACCTTCTTCAGAACCCTCCAGACCGTCTTCAGAACCCTCCAGACCGTCTACAGAACCCTCCAGACCGTCTACAGAACCCTCCAGACCGTCTTCAGAATCCTACAGACCCTCTTCAGAACCCTCCAGACCCTCTTCAGAACCCTCCAGACCCTCTTCAGAATCCTCCAGACCCTCTTCAGAACCCTCCAGACTGTCTACAGAACCCTCCAGACCCTCTTCAGAATCCTACAGACCGTCTTCAGAACCCTCCAGACCCTCTTCAGAACCCTCAAGACCCTCTTCAGAATCCTACAGACCCTCTTCAGAATCCTACAGACCGTCTTCAGAACCCTCCAGACCCTCTTCAGAATCCTACAGACCCTCTTCAGAACCCTCCAGACCCTCTTCAGAACCCACCAGACCCTCTTTAGAAGCCTACAGACCCTCTTCAGAACCCTCCAGACCGTCTTCAGAACCCTCCAGACCCTCTTCAGAATCCTACAGACCGTCTTCAGAACCCTCCAGACCCTCTTCAGGACCCTCCAGACCCTCTTCAGAACCCTCCAGACCGTCTTCAGAACCCTCCAGACCCTCTTCAGAATCCTACAGACCCTCTTCAGAACCCTCCAGACCGTCTTCAGAACCCTTCAGACCGTCTTCAGAACCCTACAGACCGTCTTCAGAACCCTCCAGACCCTCTTCAGAACCCTCCAGACCGTCTTCAGAACCCTCAAGACCCTCTTCAGAATCCTACAGACCGTCTTCAGAACCCTCCAGACCGTCTTCAGATTCCTACAGACCGTCTTCAGAACCCTCCAGGCCCTCTTCAGAACCCTCCAGACCCTCTTCAGAACCCTCCAGACCGTCTTCAGAACCCTACAGACCGTCTTCAGAACCCTCCAGACCCTCTTCAGAACCCTTCAGACCGTCTTCAGAACCCTCCAGACCGTCTTCAGAACCCTACAGACCGTCTTCAGAATCCTACAGACCGTCTTCAGAACCCTCCAGACCCTCTTCAGAACCCTCCAGACTGTCTTCAGAACCCTCCAGACCGTCTACAGAACCCTCCAGACCCTCTTCAGAATCCCCCAGACCCTCTTCAGAACCCTCCAGGCCCTCTTCAGAACCCTCCAGACCCTCTTCGGAATCCTACAGACCGTCTTCAGAACCCTCCGGCCTCTCTTCAGAATCCTCCAGACCGCCTTCAGAATCCTACAGACCGTCTTCAGAACCCTACAGACCGTCTTCAGAACCCTACAGACCGTCTTCAGAATCCTCCAGACCGCCTTCAGAATCCTACAGACCGTCTTCAGAACCCTACAGACCGTCTTCAGAACCCTACAGACCGTCTTCAGAACCCTACATAACGTTTTTACTTCGCAGGATTAGTCCATGCTGTTCTTGAGTATTTCTGGTAACTCTCGACAAAGGAATCTTATTATAGTAACTTAACTTATAGTAACACTAATAAACCTATATGCACCAAACACTGATGAACCAGACTTCATACAAACAATTGAGAACATAGCTGAAGATGTTGAGGGAGAACGAATCATTATGTGCGGTGATTGGAATATAGTTATTGATCCTGAGAAAGACACATGTCGCGATAAACATATAAATAATCCGAATGCAAGACAAAATTGTTAGAGACAATAAATGCTTTAGATCTTAAAGACCCATGGCGAGAGATAAACCCATCATCTAGAACATTTACATGGCGACAACCTTCACCGTTGAAACAAGCCCGGCTAGACTATTTTCTAGTTTCGCACAATATTCTGCAATCAATTACTGATACTGACACAATTCCAAGTATAAATTCTGACCATTCCATTATATCACTTACTATATCATTATCTGATGTACAGAGGGGAAAAGGGTTCCGGAAATTAAACAATTCTCTCTTGAAAGACAAAGAGTATGAAGATCTTGTAAAAAAACTATATACTATAAGTGACACCTTAGAACAATATAAAGATAATACAAACAAAGAAGATAATCGTTTTACCCTAAATGATCAACTGCTGTGGGAAATGTTACTTTTGAACATAAGGGGAAGTACAATATATTATTCATCAACACGTAAAAAGAAAAATCTAACCCTAGAAGCCAAATTAGAAGAAGATTTAAATGATTATGAAATTAAATTAGGCGAAGTAAATGATGAAATTTAAAACTAAAAACTAATGGAAAACTGTAAGGAAACTAAATCCGAATTAGAAAATTTAAAATAAAATAAAGACTGAAGGCTCCTTTATAAGATCTAAAGCCAAATGGATAGAACAAGGGAAAAAACCATCCAAATACTTTTTACAATTAGAATCCAGAAATGTTCTTAATAAATCCATATCAAAACTTGAAAATAGAGATGGAATTGTATTGAATACACAAGGTGATTAATATCCAAGAAGTTAAAAAGAATTACGAACATTTATATAGTGAAGACTGCACATAAATCGACTTAGAACACCTTTTTACAGGGACACCAATTCCAAGACTAGAAGATATCACTTCCAAATCTCTAGAAGGTAAATTGAGTTATGATGAAGTACTTAAAGCGCTAAAAAATATGAAAAATAAAAAAGGTCCTGGCCCTGATGGATTCACAGCAGAATTCCTTAAGTGTTTTTGGTTAGACCTACATAGATACCTTATAAATGCATTAAACTACGCGTTTGATAAGGGCTCTTTTTCAATAACACAAAGGCAAGGATTGATAAAATCCCAAAAGAAAATAAATCTTAATTATATCTGAAATATTGATGCCCAATCTCCCTTCTTAATACTTCATACAAATTAGCATCTGCAACAATAGCAAACAGAACAAAGCACGTACTACCTTTGATAGTACATGAGGACCAAAAGTGCTTTGTAGCTGGTAGGTATATTGGAGAAGTAACCAGAACGATGTGATGGATCACACAGAAACTTGCCAAAAACCAGGCTTATTATTTTACTTATCGACCTTGAGAAAGCCTTTGACTCGGTAGAAAGAAAATTCATGCAAAATGTCCTAGATTTTTTCAGCTTTGGACCTGACTTTAAAAATGGGTAAAGATACTTTTGTAGATATTGAATCATTGTTTTAGTAAATGGATATGCAAGCCCCTTTTTCAAAGTTTCAAGAGGTTGTCACCAAGGTGATCAAATATCACCATACATATTTATACTGTGTGCAGATATACTAGCAAATATGATCTGAAGTAATGGAAATATACATGGTATATCAATGGGAAAAATACTATTTCTTCTCGCCCAATTTGCAGATGATACTACACTCACTTTAGACGGATCAGAAAAAGCCTCTACGCAACAATGAATTCTTAATCTTCTTTGCATGATTTTCTGGATTAAAGGTTAATGCTGAAAAACTAAACTGATTTAGATTGGGTCAAAA